GGACAGAGCTGCTGCCAGAGCCCAGCCTGGGACCTGTGGCCACAAAAAGTGGAGAAAGGCAAAGCACGGGGGCCTGGGAGGCAGTGAAGCAGCTGCAGCTCTTCCATACCCACCACATCTGGAGAGGGCTGCAGGCAAGCAGAGCCAGCGAGGGGAGTGGGAAGAGGAGATGGAAGGCACAAGCCCTGCTTGGCAAGGCAGACATCTCTTACCATTATCCCCCCTGCCCCAGGCAAACACTTCCCGTTCATTGGAAACCGCCAGGACGTGAGACGCGCCACAGGCCACCTGCACCATCTCGTAGCCCAGCAGGGCCTCCACGATCTTGGGCTGGCAGGGGAAGAGCAGCAGCCGTCAGCCGAGACCTCCCAGCCTGCCCGGCTGCTCCCATCCCTCCCCCCCAGCCCCCCCAGCCTCAACACAGCACTGGCAGCATCCCAGTTTTCATCCAACACAAACACCCAAGAATTACTTTTCATTCCAAACAGTCTTCAAAGGGTTCAGAGACTACGTGCACAGAGCACAGAAGATAATGCAAACATCTCTGGGGCGGAAGCAAAGCAAGCCCAACGGTTTGCAGAGGGAATAGGTTCAGCTGAAGGGTTGGGATTCGCCCCCCTGCCCATGCAGGGAGTGCCAGGGGCTGTCAGAGCCCGCTCAGAGCAGGCAGGGGCTTGGTGCTGGAGGTGTTGGCTGGAAGAGCCCTGTGCAGAGGAGCTGTGAGCTACCAGCTGCGTATTCGTTAGGGTGTGGAGAGACCAGGACCTGCACATCTTGCCCAGCCCCTGCTGTGTGACCTGCTGTTAGGCCTGACACCTCCCCACAGCTCGTTATCTGCATCAAGTGAAAAACACCATTTGTTGGGACCTGGCTGCTGCTCCCAACTGCTCTCACTTCCCCTGCAATAGGCACAGAGCAATTCAGCTCTGGACAGAGCAGGAACAAACGAGCCAGCTGACCAGGGCGACTGGGCTGGAAGCCATTGGCTGCTGCCACATCCGAGGGCAGGCAAGGAAGAAGCTGGAAGGGAGCAAGGAGCCCTCAGCCCCAGCGCTCCGGGCCAATCGGAAACACACAGCTCGTCTTTAAATACTGGCTCCTTTGAAAAATAACTTTTCTCAGTGAACCCTGGCAGCTGCAGGCCAAGAGTGAAGCAGGCAGGTGTGTGATTGGAGGCAGGCTCCAAGCTGGATGCCTGCCAACAACAACCACAAGGCAGCTCTTGACTTCCCCCAAGCTCAAAGGGATCATTGTGCAGGGGGGGGAGAGAGAGAAAGAGAGAGGCAGGTTGGGTCTTTTAAACCCTGCAGTGACAGGGGGAGGAGGGGAAAGGGGTGGGATGCCAAAGCACGCCTGGGATGCACATCCTTGGATCTGGGATGAGCCCTCTCATGATCTATCCTCTATCCTGGGGGAGCAAAGCACCCAGCACTCTCACAACAAACCTGGCTAATGTCTGTGAAGTTCCCGTGCCCCAAACAGCCGTTGCTGCCGCTGCCAAAAGTCATGATTATCCCCCTGTCTGGAAAAGCAGAAAGAAGTCATGTTACTGTCACACGTGAGGCTCTGGAAGGCCATGGCTCCCAGGACAGCAGCTCTGCTTGGACCTACTCTGACTCACAACTTGCTGCAGGGGCCAGAAGCCTTCAGTGAGCGTCTGGAGAGCGGCAGCCCTGATGCGCCGCGACAAGGCCCCAAACACCAGCAGATGATAGGAAAGCCCTGAGATAACAGGGCTGTGTTTGTAGAAGCTGCTCACCTCATGGCCTGTCAAGGTGTTAAATACACAGAGGCACTGATGGAGCAGCCACCCAGCAGAGGGGTAGCAGGAAATGGAAAGGCAGGATAAACACATGCCTGCAAAGTTTGCTGGTTGTGTATCTGTCGTTTGATCCCCAGCAGAAGCGCAAACAGGGCTTCCAACAGACCAACAGGAGGACTTTGCTCCACAAACATGGCCTCGGGCTGGATTGCATGATCCCCTTCCAGCCTGAACTCCTCCTGCTCCACTCTAATGGGATTTCAGACCCTGTTTTCCTACAGCTGAGGACTACTGGCCCTGCAGGAGCTCACGATGACCTCTCACTGCAATGCCAGTCACTGCTGGTCACTGTTTGGTCTGTGTCACACGCCTAGAGTATGTGACAGAGAAAGGCTGAACTTCCCAGAAGCTCCTCACACAGCAGTCCCCACTGTACAGCTCAATTCTGGCTTCAGGTGACACCAGTGCAGGCAGGACATGGAGGCAGTGTCTCACCTGTGAGGCAGGCTGTGAAGAGATCACCACAGGACACATGTTTGATGGTCACACCAGACTGGCCCTCCAGAAAGCGGGACACAAACTGAGGCTGGAGCTGCTCGGTGGCTCCTGGGAGAGAAGGGCCTCCTGCAGCACCCATCGGGGGAGCCTGATGGAGATAAACCATTCAAGAGCTGTGTTGGAGAACACGGATAAGCTCCTTCTCCCTGGCTTAGCAGAACTACCCACACCCTGGATGGAACAGAAGTCCTTGGGGAGCAACACCAGGGCCTATGCAGTGAGGAGAAACGTCTCCTCCTCACAAATCACACCTATGGGGCTTCCACAGCCACTGCCTGCCCCAGGTTCCCTGTCGCTCACCTCCCACATGATAAGCCTCCCCGATTTGGTGACCCCAGCCTTCTGTGTCCTGCCTGCAGACACCTGCACCACCTCGGTGTTGAGCATGGGCAGGCGCAGCGGGGCCGTGATCCCGCTGCCCCACGTGTAGATGGAGGACAAAGGAGGAGGGATTCCTGTCCTGGCTGAGCCTCCTCGGACACCTACGGGTCAAAGAGAGATCATGAATGTGGACCCCTGGCTCTCCTCCCACAGGAGAAGCAACACCAACAGCCAGTCTGGGTGCCAGCAGAGCTGCCTGCCAGCAGCAGGAGATCCCCCCCAGGGCTCGGAGGAAGCACATGGGAACAACTCCTTGTATTTTATACCAGAATTGAAGGACGTGGCACCACAACAGCTCTAGCTGATTGTTACCAGCAGCATTGTCCTGCACCGGGACATTCCCCCTCAGCACCCCCAGCTGGATCCCAGCCTTTACAGTAGGAGCAGCAGGAACATGATTCAAGGGATCACAACCCAGAGGAGGCAGCTGGACAAGTGCTACTCAGTCCTCAGAGCTGAGGTGCCCATGGGCTCCTCCAGGGCTGAAGAAAGGTGACATCTTAACTTCCTCCCTCCAGAAGCTTGAGTGATTCCATGAGAAGCTTCTGAGACCCCCTGCCATCCAAGGGCAAGGGTCCTTCCAAACAGAGCTGTGTTGAACACACCGTGCCAGGACTCACCCCTGGGCCTGGCACTGCTCACTCGTCCCCCGGTCCGGCCATGGGTCACTGTCGGCACTGGAGCCACGGGCTTTTCAGGCCTGTCAAACCAAAACCAGGCCTGAATGTCAGCTCAGCCCCAGAGCTCCTACAGAGCCCTGGGCCACAGAAGGTCTGGGCACAGCTACAGTGTAAGTCATGTCTGAATAGTTCACAGAATTGCCTCAGGAGGTGCTTTAAACCTCCTGAGAGAGGGGAGGAGAGAAGAAGAGGGGAACTGGCATCAGTTTGCTTCCCTTTGAGCTCACAACTCTGCATTCACTGTCACTGCTGTGACAAGCCTGCACCTGCTGGGCCCAGAGCCACCAAGGCCAGGCTCAACCACAGCAGCTGCCCGTTGGGTGACACAGGAGAGCTGCGTGGGGACAACACTCACTTTTTAGGTTGTAACAAGGACAGTGCTGGTCAGACGGGGCTATGGGCTGGGGCAGCCCCTCCCCAGGTGGCCGTGTCACTTGCCTTCTCATTTTGACACTGCCCACGTCAGTGTAGAGGTTGAGGAGGGGCCGAACGCAGATGGCCTGGGCCATGATCTCATTCAGCTGGGGCCTCTTGGAGGGATCCAGGTTCAGCATGCTGAGGATGAGCTGGCGCAGGTCAGGGCTGTATCTGTCTGATATTGGGGCAAACGTCCCACTCATAATCTTCAGGACTAAGGCAGGAAGATTCTGGAGAGAAAACAAGAGAGAGACATACTGGGCAGTCAGAGGCGAAGCCAAGGAGCAGGTTCTCAGCACTGCCCTCTGCCTTCTCATCTCCAGGCTCCATAAGAATGATCCAAGTGTACATTTTCACCTCTGTAAGAGGCCACGGCTCCCTGCACTAGGTGTAATCCCTATCCCTCCAGCTGTGAACCAGCCCCCTCTCACCGCAGCTTCAAAGGCCCTCTTGAGGCTGGCGAGTTCGTAGAGCACACAGCCCAGAGCCCAGATATCACTCTTCTGGTTGTAAGGTTTCCCTTCACAGAGCTCCGGGGAGATGTAGCACGGAGTTCCCACAACCTGGAAGAGACAAAGAAATGCCCATGAGGCTGTGAAACCAGGGCAGGCAGGTGAGAAGGCTCAGCTCAGAGCCCAGCACACGGGCTGGCTGGAGCCTCCCCAGCTCAAGCTCCATGGGGCTGGGCTTTTGTTCCTGGGTGTCAACATCTGCCTGACAACCTCAGTAAAAAACACAAGGAGAGATCACCTCTAATTTTGCTCCCATCCACTTGAGAGAATCAGAGCCCAGAGCAATGAACATGATGTCTACTCAGATTAGACCAGGTGAGTAATGACACTCCAGTCTCATGCAGAGACAGATTAAAACAAGGCAGGAATTCAGTTGCTAAGTATGTGTCAGACGAGGCTGCAAACAACACCCCTGCACTGTTGACAGTGGGAGGAACCCTGTCTACCCTCACCAGTGGGACCAGACAACCCTGTCCTCTCCTAGGCTTGGGCAGGCAGGTCTTTCTCACCTGCAGCAAACTTGGGCATGAAGACAACAGCCTGTATTAACTCCAAGGAGCAGGGCAGCAGCTCAGGGATGTGGCCTGCTGCAAGTGTGCTACATCCAACCTCACAGCTTCCAAGAGACATCATGAGCCAGGCCCAGAGTTTCCAGCTGCCATGGTGGGAAGAAGTTCCCCTGCAGAGCCAAGCCACTCACCGTGTAGGCTTTACTCTTGCTGCTCAAGATTTTGGAGATACCAAAGTCTCCAATCTTGACAATCATGCGATGTTTATCCAGGAGGATGTTCTGAGTCTTCAGGTCACGGTGCAGGATCTGCTTGGTGTGGACGTGGTGCAGAGCCAGGAGGATCTGCACGAAGAAGTGCAGGATGGTGTCCTCATCCAGCAGGGAGTTACAGCGCTTGTGGATGAACTCTGCCAGCGTGCCCCCTGTGAAGCACAACCAAGGGCTATTGCTAGGGGGGGGCTGACCAGGGCAGCACAAGCCTGGCCAAAAAGCTGAGGGGGTTTAGCCACGGCACCCAAACGAGCCAGGCACATGGAAAAAAGCTTGTGTCCCAGTGGGACACACAGCAGGTCCTCCCGAGACCACACAGAGAACAATGGCAGCACGAGCAGTGGGATGAAGGAACAGCCAGACAGGAGTTCCTTGTTGAAAGGCAGCAGGAAAAGCAAAGCTAAAATTCCAGCCCTTAGAGGAGGACACAAGGCTGGATGGCAGAACAAGATCAGCCTGTTCTACAAAAGAGAAATTCTTGCAGTCCAAGAGGCCACGTGGCGCCGAGAGGCCCCTTGGAGAAGGGGAGGTCCAGATTCAGGGCTCACACACACCTTCCAACACACCCTGTGCAAAACATCGATTTCATCTGAAAACTCCACAGCAAATCTCATTGGGAATGACACCTTCCCACACGGAGCTGCGTGGCCAGAGCTGACACAGGGAAATGAGTGTGAAACCCACGCCAAGGGCAGGTGGCAGCACAATTATCAGTGACAGAGATGTTAGAAATCTCTCTGTTTTGGATTAGCAGGTATAAAACATGTAATCCCAGAAAGGCTGAGGTTGGAAGAGACCTCAGGAGGTCATCTGGCCCCACCCCCTGCTCAAGCAGGGCCACCATCGGCTGGTTGCCCAAGACCACGACCTGTATTTTGAATATGTCAAGGATGGTGACTCCACAGCCTGTCTGGGCCACCCATCAGCACTTGATCACTTGGCTCACGGTCAACTGTGGGACACACAGCAGGTCCTCCCGAGACCACACAGAGAACAATGGCAGCACGAGCAGTGGGATGAAGGAACAGCCAGACAGGAGTTCCTTGTTGAAAGGCAGCAGGAAAAGCAAAGCTAAAATTCCAGCCCTTAGAGGAGGACACAAGGCTGGATGGCAGAACAAGATCAGCCTGTTCTACAAAAGAGAAATTCTTGCAGTCCAAGAGGCCACGTGGCGCCGAGAGGCCCCTTGGAGAAGGGGAGGTCCAGATTCAGGGCTCACACACACCTTCCAACACACCCTGTGCAAAACATCGATTTCATCTGAAAACTCCACAGCAAATCTCATTGGGAATGACACCTTCCCACACGGAGCTGCGTGGCCAGAGCTGACACAGGGAAATGAGTGTGAAACCCACGCCAAGGGCAGGTGGCAGCACAATTATCAGTGACAGAAATGTTAGAAATCTCTCTGTTTTGGATTAGCAGGTATAAAACATGTAATCCCAGAAAGGCTGAGGTTGGAAGAGACCTCAGGAGGTCATCTGGCCCCACCCCCTGCTCAAGCAGGGCCACCATCGGCTGGTTGCCCAAGACCACGACCTGTATTTTGAATATGTCAAGGATGGTGACTCCACAGCCTGTCTGGGCCACCCATCAGCACTTGATCACTTGGCTCATGGTCAACCTGGTGTCCACCAGGACTCCCACATCCTTGTCTACAAAAATATCAACAAAGGGAGGGTACAAAGCACAGGATCTTTACGAGGGGCACAACACGGAGCCCTGGTAGCTTGACCAAAGGGGTCTGGTGTCCCTGGCCCTGCCCAGGAACCCCCTGCAGGGCCCACCTGGGGCGTACTCCATGGCAATCATGAGCGCCTTGTCCTCCAGGAAGTTCTCGTAGTACTCGATGACGTTGGGGTGGCTGAGCAGCTTGAGGACCT